GTGGAAAGTGGCTGTCCTTCCCTCACAGGGCTGTGGGAACAGTGACATAAGATCATGAATATGAAGTTCAAAGTGAGGTACTTGGACCCAGCACCCGCCACAGATGTGGGTGACCAAAAGACTCATGGAAAACATCACCAGGGGCCCTGCCTGGTGCCTGGTACACGAACGCAGCAGTCCTCCGAGGGGCCAGGATAGCTGACAGTCTCCTTCTGAAATAATTTTGAGCGGCATGGACAAGGCCAGTTTGCCAGATCTCTGCCTGCAGCCGACAGCTGTGTGTGTACACTCCTCTATCTGACTTGCTTCTCCTACACTGGCATTTCCATGTGAAATCCTGGAAAAGTCCACTGAAGGACATCCTATATAACCTTCGGGAGAAGCAAGCTTCCTTCCTAAATATAAATACACACCCTTGCCAAGAATACCCACAGACTACTAGTTTCCTAAAAGCACAGAGAAGCCAGGCTTCAGTGGGACCCAGAACTGCGGCTGGCCTGAGGTGGCCTGAAGTGTGATGACAGGAACATTCTACCCAGCCAGTGTCCAAAGGCTGGAAAAAGACAGACTTCAACTTCCACGGAGTTCTTACCGCAAGCCCTGTCCTAGCCAGCCCCAGCCGCTACCAAACGCTATCAACTTGCACGCGGCATCTCTGACCTTCCCCCCCACCTTCTCTTTATTCCCACAACTGGACAGGAGGCCCAAGATGCCGAGAGATCTGTGTCCCAGTGGGGAGGTTATGCAACAGCCTGATAGGGTCAGATTACAGAAAGGAAGGTCTCTTAGAAGTGCAGATGATGCCAAGTTCACAGAATGTTTTCTCATCACCAAGGGAGAGAAAGGAACACTTCTGCTCTTCAAATAAAACAAGGGAAGATTTTTCCAGACAGAGGAGCAGTCAGATGGGGTGGGGGAGACAAGGTGTAGATTCTGACCCTGGTGTGAGCCAGGTCCAGAGTGGGGAAAGAGATGTGATAGGCTGGCTAGGAGTCAGACTTCTTGCACAGGCAGGTGGCTGGAGCCTGGGGACAGCAGGGACTTGCAATCATGTTCTATTTCTTTGGAAGAAGGTGAGCCTGATTTGCACACACGCAATAACCCTGTTCAGTTTCTCCTCATCCCAAGATGGCAGGAACCATGCCAAGTAGAGCATCCTCACTCTAGCACAGGGTGAAAAGATGACTCCAGGAGACGCTGCCTCATCCCATCAGCTGAGCTGGATGGAGCGGCCAAGAAAGGAGAGGGAAGATGAGGAGGGGGGCTCTGGGAGAGAGCACGTGGTTTGACGTAGCAAGCTGGCTTGGGGAGAAAGGAGCAGGGCTCCCAGGACTGTTTGTCCTACTCCGTTGCGAAAACATTGTCTTCTCTCTTTTGTGGGCTCTTGAGACTGGCCTTACAGGGGGAATGTGTGGGCTTCCTAAGACAGAAACCTAGGTCAGGAGGAGCAGGTGGTCCAGAAGGACCCAGCCCTCGTCACTCACAGACCCAGCTCCCTTCCAGCCGCAGTAGGGCTTCAACCTGGCTTCCTAGAGTCCGGCCCCTGCAGCGTTCCAGGTGGCAAGAAGAAGGATTGCTGTGGGATCGAGGATGGAAAGCTGGGGTGGGGCAGTTACTTTTACATCGTTTTCAGGCCAAGTTTACTTTGAGACTTTTGAAAACAAAAGAGTGGCACCCAGCCCCGACCCCATCACCAGTTCAAGCTTTGTGCCCATAGATACCACAGTTAGTCATCAAATTGACCGGAAAGCCTTGCCCCGCACAGTGTAACAAGAAGGTAGCTGGCCCCAGCTCTGAGCAGTTTCCCAAGACAAGACACTCTGAGAGGTCAGCCATGGGTTGTCTGTCTGTCTGGCACTTCTGTAAGCAAGTCCTTCCCAGGGCTTGTTTCAGCCTAAATCTAGTTCTCCTTTTGGAGAAGGATGCCCAGGTTGTTTCTGCTATGAATGAAGAAGCTGGGTCTCATGGGGGTTACTGGTAGGAGTCACATGCACCAGGCTGGGTGTCTGTTAAATGCCTCCATGTGATCCTCCACTCATTGTGTAATGAAGGGGACCTATCACCTTCCAACACAGAAGAACTAAGCTTCCATTCCTTACTACACAGTTGAGACTCAAGCCCCAGCAAAGCTTCCAAGCCCGTAGGCCTCTTTATCTTCCCTCCTCCCACTGACTTAGAACGATTCTGATGGTCATGGGGGCTAACCATGTTTACCTTGACAACCACGGAGTTCAAAGAAACAACACAGGATTTTCCAGACAGCTAAGCAACGATCAGGTTTTGAAAGGTGGGGGCAACCACAGTCACATGAGCTGTGGTACGAACTCAGATCATGTGACCCTCTTCCATCATCTGACCAGCTGGCCTGGGGGAAACCTTCCATCTTCCTCAGCCTCTATGTCCTACCAGGAAGTGAGTTCAAGTTCTCTCCCAACTCTGGCATTCTTTGAATGCTGAAGATCCTAATTCTACTTCTCTTGTGAATAATGCTTGGCTTACTGGATATGGTAGCACATGCCTGTGATCTCAGCATTCATGGGGCTAAGCAGGAGGAGCCTGAGTTCAAGGTCATACACACACACCACACACACACCACACACACACACACACACACACACACACACACACACTACTGTGATTCATCTTCCTATGAGGAAGTCACACAGCTAACAATCAGGAAACCACAGGGGTTTGTTTTATTTTGTTTTTGATGCTGTAGTTATTGTTAGTGTTGTTACTTGTTTTGGCTTTTTGAGACAGTCCCCTTACATAGCCCAGGCTGACTCTGAACTCACTGTGGTGCCCAGCTTGGTCTCCAACTGGTGGAAATCCTTCTGCCTCAGTCTCCTGAGTACTGAAATTATGAGCATTGCACCACCACACCCAACTCTGGGGACCACAGGTCCAGAGATATAAGCAACAGTTCAGGTATCACAGACAACAATGTTCTAGGCTGGTGGTTCTCAAAGTGACCAGTGATGTCAGCTTTGTCCTGGAGTGCCACAAAAAAAAACGCAAAACCACCACCATCAACTGATGACCCCTTGGGTGGAAACTTTGTTTTAGCAAGATCCCCACAGGATCTTGCTGTGTCTACACAACACAGCCTGAGAAGTGCTATTAAAGACCATGATTCCTTCAGGTCAGAAGCCTTGCTTGTCTTTGTATTCCTGGAAAAAGTACTGCTCCTGGCATATAATAGATTCTCAACAAATAGGAAGAGCAGGAAACAGCAGGTGCTCAACACATGCTCGGACAAGGAAGGAAGGGAAGGACAGGGCTTGTTTCTAAGGTTGTTTTGACAGTGTTTCAAATATCCCAGCCGACCTAGAACTTACAATACAGCCAAGGGTGACCATGAACTTCTGATTCCACTTCTGAGTGCTCAGATTACAGGAATGTGCCACCACACTTGGTTTATGGGATGTTGGGGATTGAACAAAGGACCGAGCCACACCCTAGGCACGCACCCTACTGACTGAGTTACATCCTAGGCAAGCACCCTACTGACTGAGCTAACTCCCCATTCCACTTTCTACAGGGTTAATATGTTTTTAGTGCTATATGTCAAACTCACACATGCTGCGCAAGCGCTCTACCACTCAACTACACCTCTGATCCCTCTTTTACACCTTTACGAAACAGCAGCAGTTTGCCATGGGAGGCAGGGATCGGGAATCACATGTAAACTCCCTCTCAAACCCAGAGTAACCACTGCTAAGCTTCTGTAGCTTTCCTACCTCCTTCAAGATTTTTCTAAGACATACGCTTGCTTTTATGTAATAAAGCTATACTTTGAACAATGCATAGTTACATAAAGTACATGCATAGATGTTGCATATTATTTTATAACTTGTTTCATTCACTGAAAAATACTGAATATAAATATTTCCAAGTCAATAAATGTCCATCAGTTTACTGATTCTTTGATGTCCCTCTAAATGGTTAAGTCCTTCAAACACTCCCCTCGCTGAGTATTTGAACTGGATCCCGCTGGCTCTTTAACCTACTGCAACGTGCATCCGCACCGTGCCCTTGGCTGAATAACTCCCTAAAACAAATGCTTCCAGGAGGAGTCTGCGCATCAAAGGCGCATGGAACTTTTCAAACCTTTGCCCTGCACACTTGTCCCCAGTGTGGATGCTCCCTCAGAACATAAGGTCCTTCCTTGTTGGGAACTTTTCCAGACCAGATGGGAAGTGAGCATCTGACTCAAGTACATTTGCACAGAGCCAGAAATGGCCATAGGAGGCCGCCGGGTATGTGGGGAGAGCACCTACTTTGACTGTAGTGGCAAACCTGGTGTCTTCTCACCAACTGTGTGACCTTGGGCAAGTGACTCAATTCCTTTGGAGTTCTATCTTCATCTCTAAGTGAAGTCATGGCTAGTTACCTTCCACTATTACAAGGCTTACAGACAACATATATAACAGCCTTGCAGAGGGCCAGGCGTGGTGGCAAACACCTTCAACCCCAGCACTCCAGAAGCAGAGGCAGAAGGATCTCTGTAAATTTAAGGCCAGCCTGGTCTACACAGTGAGTTCTAGGCTAGCCAGGGTTACATAGGGAGACCCTGCCACACAAAACAACAGCAATGACCAATCCCAACCTCGCAGACTTATGCACTAAATATTTCTTGAATGGATGACGAGAACTAATGGTTGAATGGAGCAGTGTGGGGAAGAGAAGAAAAGGGGCAAAGGAAGAAAAGAGAGGCAGCCAAGTGAATGAAGGCAAAGCATACTGACTGCACAGTTTATGGGCTGGTTTGTCAGGATGAAGGAAAGAAAAGAAAGGACAGAAAGAGATGGTCCATGACGAACACACAATTTCTCTCCACCCCAATCTGTTCTTCTCTGAGAGTTGGTAGCTGGTGAGCCACTACATCTCTGCTTCATAACGGGCCAGGACACAAGATAGCTGTCCCCAAGACAAAACCCCACACCAGCACTCAGCTTCCCGAGCGGGATCTGATGCCACTGGATAAACTTCTCCAATACCTTGGCGGGTTTGCCAAAGTCCAAAGAAGGGACCCGTGCTGCCTGCCAGCTCACACTTCTGAGCCCATGGGCCGTTGTCACCTAGAAACCAGAAAAAGAAATGGGAGATGGTCAGTGGGTTCCTCTTTCTGACCCGGCTCTCTGGCCAGAACCCTGCGCACATCAGGGACTGGACAGAAAGGCAAGCATGATCCCTATATTTGAAGTGTTCCTCGTAGGAGTGGATGTCAGTGCCCGGCTACCCCATGCAGCATGGACCTCCTCCTTCCTATGCTTCCCAAGTGCTGGGCTTGCACATCACACTCAGCTAAAACTCTGTCTCAGTGATTCCATCTCTACTAGGCTCTAAGGGGGTGGGGGGAGGGGTTGGTTGCCCTGACCCAGTGAGCCCCAACCTTAACTTCTGCGCTCACATCCCATTCAGGTGGTGTTAGCAATCCATGACTACCATCATTTGTGTCAGCCCAGCCACTGTTCACTAAGCATCCTTGATGGACCTGGAACTCCAGTACATTGTCTTTCTACCTTACAGTACACAGTGGGCTAGATCCTACTCTCCCATTAGCATATATTGAGAACCAGGTTTCAACTTGACCCAAAGCAGCTGCCACTTCAACAGAGACCTGAGACACAAAATATTGGTGTAACAACCCCCCACATACACACACCTTTGGATTTTTCTGAGACAGTCTTGTTGTATATACCCCAGACTATCCTCCTCAAATTCACTCTACAGCCCACCCTAGTCTTAAACTAGAGATCTTCTTGCCTTAGACTCTGAAGTGCTAGAATTCTTTTGTTGTTGTTGTTTTAAAGATTTATTTCTTTAATGCACATCGGTGTTTTGCCTGTACATAGTCTGTGTGAGGGTGTCGGATCCCCTGGAACTGGGGTTACAGACAGTTGTGAGCTACCATGTGGGTGCTGGGAATTGAACCTGGGTCCTCTGGAAGAGCAGCCAGTGCTCTAACCACTGAGCCATCTCCCCAGCCCGAAGTGCTAGAACTCTATGGAGTGCTGTGTACCATGCCTGGCTGTATGTGAGCCCTTTAAAGGGATCGTTAATTCAGTTCTGGAGCCACCTGACTAAAGATTCGGCCGGTAGTAACCACTATCACTGGGACCAGGGAGGAGATGGTAAAGGACTACGCAAGTTCACAATGTCAAAATCACTCTTAAACAAGCAAGAGTAAATAGTCAGCAGGCCCTAGTCAACATCTACAGGGCCAGGAAAGTGCATGCTCTGTCAGTACAAATCTTCCTCCATGACTCAATCATGGAGAATAGTCAATAGACAACACGCTCAGCCCCTTCCCTGTTAAAGACGTCACATGACCAGACTCTGCTCTCCAGAGACCCTGTGCGGTTGTCTACTAGACCCCAGCCAGGTGGACATTTCTACTTTACCTGTAAACCAGAGGAGCGTGTTTTCTTTTGCCACGTGGTCCACCTTGTCCTTGATCCGCCCTACCAGACTGTCCATCTCGTGGAGACTTGCGTGGTACAGCCGCTGGCTCCGTGGGTTTTCCAACGGTGGCGTCGCAGACAAAGGCACATGCATGTGTGCCAGGCCCACATAGAGCAGGAAGGGTCTTCCACTGGTGCTGGAAGAAACGGGAAAACGCGGAGCCTCTGCAGGGGGCTGCTCTAGTCTGGGGTCTCAGCAGTCCCTCCTGACCTCAGAGAAAACCCCACCACAGGACCTGTCCTGCAGGCTCAAGGATAATGCATCTGTCTGCCATCTTCTAAGGAAATGTGGAAGTCATCTGGCTGGCCGGTCAGAGAAGTACCGCACTGTAACGATGGCTCATATTCTGTGTAATAAGAGCTATTATACAGAGATGTTGTCTAAGACCATCCTCAGGGTAAAATCCCATTTCCCCTTTCAGGGAATGAATCAGAAACTGAGAGGGATCTAAGGACTCCTTCTGGTTATGCAACTAGTAGAGACAGTCTGGATTTCAGCTCATCTGCCCAGAGCAAACCTATGCTCTTTGCTGCACATCAGAGGTCAAGTGTCCTGATCACTGTGTTAATTCTAGTGGTTCTCAACCGTCCCAATGCTGTGACCCTTAAGTACAGTCCCTCATGTTGTGGTGACCCCCCAACCATAAAATTATTGCATTGCTACTTCATAACTGTAATTTTACTATTGTTATGAATCGTAATGTAAATATCTGATATGCAGGATATCTGAGATGCGACCCCTGTGAAAGGGTTGTTTGACCCCCAAAGGGGTCACAACCTACAGGTTGAGAACCGCTGTTCTAGAAGATACAGCCACAGGGATATGTGTGACCACAGGGGACATTTAGATCAAGGCTCTATTCTACACTAAACCTGGAAAACGTGTGATGAAAGGCTTGAGGGAACTGGGGTGGCCTCCTAGCAAAGACTCCACAGGGGCAGGCCTAACTACTTGGAAAACTGAGATAAAAAAGATCACAAGTTCAAGGCCTGACTGAGCTACATGGTGAGTTTAAGACCAGCCTAGAAAACTTAATGAACCCTTGTCTCAAAATAAAAAGGAGAAAATGGCCTGGGGATATAGGTAAGGGAATAGTATGCTTGCCTAATATACAACAAAATCTGAAATTTAACCTCTAATTCTACTACCCCATCTCATCCAACCCTGACGCTCTCTTCTGGCCTCCCCAGGTACTGCCCATGCATGGTGCACATACATACATGCAGGCAAACACTGATACACACAATAGAATTTTTTTTTTTAAAGCTGTTTGTTGCTAACTTGAGTTTCTTTTTTCTTTTTTATATCACTCGATGAATTTTGGCTTACCATCAGGATAGACTTCCCAATCACTTCTAAAATGGTGTTAAACATACTTTTGCCACTTTGTACTACATATCCGTGTGAAGCAGTATTTTCAACATGATTATAAAACTGTAACATCAATGAGCTCTGAAGAGGCTCTACACCTTGGAGGATTCAAATCTTCATGTAAAAATAAACAAGCATATTTCATCTTGAATGAATGGTAAAATTACATGTGTGTCACAGAATTGTTGGAAAATAATCTTTTTATGATTTATTATCAGTACACGTTTAGTTTATGTGCCTATTTTATATACCTGAGATATTGTAAAAATTTCTTGGGGTGGGGCTGGAGAGATGGCTCAGTGCATAAGAATGGTTAGCTCTCCTGCAGAGGACCCAGGCTTGGTCCCTAGCATGCATACTGGGCATCTTACAACTGCCCGCAACTCTCTCTCAGTCCATGGCACTGATAACTCTTGTAACAGACTTCCCACTCCCCAGTAATCCATTGCAGAGTCCTCTTGACTCAACACCTCCCCTATTCTAAAACTTAACAGTGGTGCAAACCTGTCATCCAGCACTCAGTGGGTGAAGGCAGGAAGACCAGAACTGCAACGTCATGCTTGATTACATAAGGAGTTCAAGGCTAGCATATGATATATGACCCTGTCTAATAAAATTAAACAAACGAAAGAAAGAAAGAAAGAAAGAAAGAAAGAGAGAGAGGGAGGGAGGGAGGGAGG